AGGGGTTTTGGGAAAACAAATTTTTTCGTTGAGAAATAGCATTTTTACTAAAAATCAAGAAAACCCCAAACAGTGCTTTTTTCAACTGTATGCTATTTTTAATTTTTAAACTTTGTTTTTGAGTTTTGGGGAGGCCAGGGTTGATGCAACAGGCACTTCACGTTGTTTGCAGTTGAAAAAAGCACTGTTTGGTGTTTTCTGGGTTTTTAGTAAAAATGCTATTTCTCAACGAAAAAAATTGTTTTCCCAAAACCCCTCCTTACGGCTATAGCTGGAGTATAGAGCTATCGAATGGCATAAAATTCAATGAGTTAGCTCCTCAGCAAAAAACTAGATAGGTTTTTGGCGGAGGGGTCTCATTATTCAAGGTTTTCTATCGCGAGCAGCGCCAGAATTTCAAATTACGTTCTAAGAGTCTGAAAGTAGTATGGATATACCCAGTTTTCGACGAGGAATCGAATAAAAAAAAGTTTGAGCCTGTAGCTACTTTCTATAAAAAGTTATGAGTGGTTTTCGAAAGGCCAAGAATTTTCGAAGTTTTTGGACCTTTTCAGTATTTTGCATTTTTCTCCCCGAAAAAAAGGTTTTTTTCAACTTTCAAGGTCATATTCATGATCAGCATGCTCTGGCAAATCCAAATAGGTGTCTTTTTTTTTAAATTTTGGTAAAAGTTTGCTTTGCGTGCACCTTACAAACAACAAACAATTATATTGAAGTGGTAAAGTCGATTGGAATGATTATTAAGTGTAAAATCATGGATTTGGAAAAAGCAGTTAGATGAATTACAAAATACCAGTTATTTATGTGTTTTATTAGATGAGACAACTGATATTAGCAACATTAAACAACTTGTAATCTGTCTTCGATTTTTTAATACCAAACTTCTATTCAAATCCGGGACTTGCAAAATCCAGAAATGTTAGGATCTATATTGATGAATAGTTTAAAAAAATTAATTAAATTCTATCTCGTTTTCTTCATATTGCTGATGAATCTTGTTCTGAAATAAAATATAATGAAGAAACATCAGTCTAAGACTGTGATGTTTGAACTGACCCGACCCTATGGTCAGGTTGGGTTCGGGTTGAACATTTTGCGGCGCAATTTATAACATAGGTAATAATTTCAATTTTGTATTACTCGTTGAAAAGTTAACTCTGTTGGAATTTTCAGTTGAAATACTTATTTCAGGACAATTGCATTCACTAACAAGGCAAGGTCTTAAGATGCCCAACTTCGTTTTTAATGACCCCTAGCCGAGACTTCCGACAAAACTCCCACGTGACTCCTGTCACAGCGACCTGTGGGAGCCAGGTGGGCCTTTCAAGGGGTTCGCTCGCGACTCCTGTAGGACTTTGAGGACTTCCGTTGGGCTCCTGCCGAACTCGAAAGTCCTTTAAGTCTCACAGGAGTTCCGAGTGAGTCTTCAAAAGTCCTACCTAGTTCTACAAGATCCCGTGGCAGGAGGTCCTGTGGGAGTTTTGTTGCGAGGCTCGACTAGGGGTAGTAGCACTGGTTTCTAAAAAAGATTCCTTAAAACTCCTTTAACCTACTGCAGTGGCGGATTTAGGGAGGTACGATCGAAGCCTCCCTAACAAACTGTTTTTAGAAGAAAAGAAAATTGTTAATGCTTCCGGTCTCAAAAGTTCAAGCAATCGCAACCCCCCCTTTAAATGGGTTTAAACCCATTTAAAGGGGGGGTTGCGATTGCTTGAACTTTTGCGATTGTTATACAGTAGGTCAGTGTAGTCAGTGATGGATGCAGGATTTTTTAAAGGAGTTTATAAACTCCTTTAAAAAATCCTGCATCCATCACTGACCTACTGTATAACAATCGCAAACTACTAATGAAATGAAGGAGACTATAAAAAATCCAGTATATACATCCATGAATACAGTTAATCTTCTGCTTGAGAGATTTCCCTACATGTAAGTTATGAAGTTATTCTATGTCTCCATTGTTGATCTTGAACATTGTCACAACGTCGCCACCATCAGCTTACCGAATATTTTTTCCTTGTGTTCAAACACAATGGTTTCTAACTCCATGATTGTAGTATTCCCTTTATTTCTAGTTTCTTGTTTTGTAGTAGTTTTAAACACTCGACTTGTAACAGATAGTGAAGTCACATGTTTATTTCTGATGGTGGGTTAAATTTATTTCTATTGGTTTATTTTAGCTCTCGAGCGCACTTGCTCACTCACGAAACGACAGTACCTATCTGTCTGCCCACATATTTTGCTTTTTTTTGTGATCTAGTGAGTAAAATGAGTTGAATAACTCAGGCTTTAGAATCAATTAATTCAATTTATTTTTTATATTTTTATTGATAATTTACTGGTAAGTGGGAGTCGAGAATTCTACTTTATTAGTATTTACAACTTCTCTTTTTGTTATAGTTATGGCTACTGTATCAACATGAATATTTCCTTTTTTTCACTTGCTCATTCCTATTCCCGAAGTAAATAAGGAAAACGCCACAGATATCAATGTCGAGTAGAATTAAATTACCGTTTAAACTTGGTGATTCTAAAAAAACGGAAGTTGAAATCAATGAACAGTTGCGCAGAGAAGATTTTTCATTAAGTGAAGTAAATGAACAATTGAGCTTTTATGCTTATAGAATTTATTTCTTCTGTTTTTGTCAATTTAGATTGTTCGATATGGCTTTCCATATAAACCAACAACATTAGCTTATGATCCTGTACAAAAACTGCTTGCAATTGGAACAAAAACGGGCACAATTAAAATGTATGCAGTTACTCTGTTTTTAAAACTGGATAACTCTAATCAATCGTTACACTTTTTCAGTTATGGTGGTGCCTTTGTTGAATGTTCTTTACCTCATCCAACTGAAGTAGAAATTGTTCAATTAGTATTCAGAATAAACGAGGTAAGACAATATGTCGTTTTTCCTTCACTAATATGTTAATTTTAACATGTTTTTTTGTTTTGTTTCTAGGGTGCGCTCATTAGTGCGTGCCGTGATAATATTATACATTTATGGAGTCTTCGACAAAAAAAGCCAGTCATTGCCAATTCATTGAGATTCGTTAAAGAAAAGTAAGTTTGAGAATTTAATTTTACATTATGGAAAGAATTTTACATTAAATACTTCGAAAAGTTGATAAAAATGTGAAGATTTTTTTGTCGAAATTATTAATCAATCTTTTGCTCGGGAACAGTGAGATGCTACACTTTGCTGTTCCGATACTGCCACAAAATTGTCTAAAAGATAAGTCATTGAAATTTACAAAAAAGCTTACTCATTATCTTTCAAAAATGAAATCAAACTATCTATTCGCTTTCGTATATAGACACAATTTATTAGGTTTAAAAAGTGAATTAATATAATATTTTATCTTTCGATCTCTATATTGCCTATTGTCTCTGATTGCTGTTATTGTTTAGTATAGAATAAATTTCTATTTAGGATTAAAATCGTATATTGAATTGAAGTTTATTCATTGAACTATTTTTCTCGTGTTTCATTTCTACTTTTCAAACTTGATTTGCCAGAATCCATCGAGGTTTCCATGTATAAAAATAAACTGTTCCACACGAAGACACGGGGGTTGAGCGTTCAAATTTTATTGGATATTTTTTTTAAAAGAAATACCCGAGTAAAAAGTACGTCAAAAACAAATTAAGATTATTATTAAGAGAATATGTTAAACTACTGCAAGGTTTATAATTATAATGAAAATTATCTTTTTTTTCTCCCTCGTTATTCCAACTAGGGATCAGAATACAAATCTTTGTTAATTTGTTTCACCTCAATTCTAAAAAGTAGAAAAAGATAATTCTTTTCTTCTTTCTCTCGCTCTCACGACTCTCAACTTTTTATCTTTATTTGTATGTTTCCGATTGACATCGTGCATTCATCTTAATCGAGATTGTATTATTGAAAAGGCCGTAATATGTTCACGAATAAGGAAATTACTTTGTCGGTGACAACGTCGACTAAAAAGAGTAGGAAAGGGATAGTGGTGTGAATGTGATGGCTCATTTTCTTCTTATTCACTTATGTGATGTAATAATAATAATCCTAAGAATTTTTTTGCTCTCTCTATACTTATTCACAGAATTAATATGTAAAATGTAGAAAGATGAAATATAAAATGTTTAGTTATGTAGAACACAGAAGTAAAGAACGAAGATAAAGAATTCACATCTCTATGGAATAAAATAATAATTGAGAGCACGATTTTAATAAAAAATTAAAGGTTAGAGAAAAGAGAAATATGCTCATTACTCAGAGATACATTAAACACAGTTTGTTCATTCCATAAAAATTGCAATTGACATATCATAGATATCTGAAGAAATCCAGGTGTTTTCCAAACACTGATATTAAGTTAGATTTACTCTGACAGTTTAACCATCTGGCTTTAACCAATAAATCCTTCAATCAATACTTAGGTGACTGAATCTGCAGAAGAGAGAAGAAAAATATTGTTGATATTGATCGACTAAAAAATAGATATCCTACACGGCCAGATAACTCTGCTACCGGAGTGAAATTCCGTGACGAAATTTTGATATGTTTATATTTTTTTAACGAAAGCATGTGTAGTGCTGTGGAATGTCTAGAATTGTAAAGTAAACTTTTCTCTACAAAATGAAGCTCTATACATTTCTTTGTTTAAACAATAAACGGTAAATACAAAACGCCCTTCTCAAGCTTCATTTTGAGGAAGTAGCATTTAGTATTTACCATTTATTGTGTAAACAAAGGAATGTATAGAGCTCCCAGACGCCTCATTTTGTAGAGAAACGTTTGCTTTACAATTCTAGACGTTTCACGGCACTACACGTGCTTTCGTTAATAAATCTAAGCATGGCAAAATGTCAAACTTTCGTCACAGAATTTCACTCCGGCAGCGGAGTTATCTGGCCATGCCGGTATTTCACATTTGTTAACTTCTATAAAAAGCGTCTCTCTCACTATCACAGTGGGTATTCTTTGGTCTAATGCATGACTTTTTTTTCCAACGATAAAACGTGAAGTCAAGATTATGGATATCCTATCTGAACTTCCGCTGAAAAAGTTAGTTTAAAAAATTTTCTGTTGTACAACGCCTTCTCGATCATCTGTATTAGATTCTATCCTACTGTGATGAAGGTTTGCATCTATGCTCTTATATATCTAACTGAACTACAATTTATACGTTTCAATGTCTCGATCGAAAATAACTTTTTCAAAAAAAGTGATTCAAGGATAATATAAGTTAAAACTACACAAAAAACCATCGATTTTCAAAATTTTTTTATCTATCGCTTTTGAGGCTTTTTTATTTTTTTTTTATTCAGTGATTTATCTAGTGTGTAGGCCGAATTTTCGCTTCGACCTCTTGAAAATCAATAGGTGATTTCGTTTTAGCCAACAGCCCCTCCAAAAATTTCAACCGCCCACCCGAAAAACGAAACCTAGATAAAACACTGGGCTTAGTGTTTTAATGCCCACTGGGCTTTTAATTAATTAAATTGTTCACCTTTTGGTATACAGAAAAATAATATTTTCAAAGTCATACTTTCGAGAAGAGCTTGTGAGTGTCAAGCACCACATTGATCCGAGGTGTTTCTTTTGATATTTCGGCTTATACAAAACAGATACAAACAAGTAGGTAAGAACAAATACGCTAGTGAATATACGGAAAAGTTCTCTAATTTTTATAAGGAGAACGAAATTTTTCAGCTAACGAGGGAACCTCTCCAAATGTACTCTCGTTTTTTAACGAATTGTAGTGGTTTGTAGGTAATCGACCATGCTGATTTCGAATATGATATTCATTTGGGTTGATAGGCCTTTCCTAGCCGATTTCAGGAAAAGCCCTAAACATTCATTATCGCCTCATAACTACAGAAAGAAAATGGAAAAATGACTTTAGGGCTTTTCTTGTAAACTCTATAACTTTGCAAAGAAAGGCCGTGTATAGATGATGTCTCATTTAGAGATTCCGAGAAACTGTCTCACTTAGAGATGTCTCATTTTGAGCAGAATTTCGCGGGCTACAATCGGAAGTTATTTAGAAAAGGTTTTGGGTTTTTTTCGAGGTTTCTGGAAAACAGGTCATTTTTTCTCGATCCGTATTTCTGGTTCAAATGAACATCAAGAAATTTTTGCACTATGGAATAGTTTTAGCATCAATGTTTATTTTATATTCATTCAATATCAGAATAATTTCATCGTCGATTTTTTGCCTAATGTTCGCCTAGATGTTCACTATGACCTTATAAACTGTGTCCACAAACTTTGTTCCATGTTTTCATAACGAAAACTTTTCTTATACAAAGTAAATGTTGGTAGATGAATGCAAAGCGTGCTGGTAAATGCATGTTATCACAGAAGAATCTCTAAATATTATCAAAAATGACAAAAACTTCGAAAAGAGTCTGAAAAACGTTTTGCTTTATTTTTTGTTTATGAAAAATACATTCTGAATTGAAAAAATTAACTTCCAGCTCACGCAACTGGTGATATAATCGCAAATTTCACAAAGAATTTTTCTGACGGCTGCTTACCGTGTGTTATAAATTAATATTTAGGTTTATGATAATATTTTTACCTGACTAGATTTTCTTTTTTAGAATTAGTCGTTGTTTATTACCATTGTCATTCAATTCAAAATGGTTATTAGTCGGTACTCATTGTGGAAACGTTTATGTTGTTAATCTTGATACATTCTCATTGTCATCATATAAAATTATGTGGAATAATGCAATTGGAATGTATGTTTTTTGTCTTTTTTTTGTCTATAATATATATTACATTAACATTGATTTATTCTAGGGGAAAAAGTTCTCATCCAGGCGCTGTTGTGGATCTATGTCAAAATCCAGATGAGCCCACAAAAGTAACATAATCTACTATTTTCTCATTATATATGATCAATGAAGAATATTTATTTGAATTTAGATATACATTGGATTTAGTACACACATCACTACTCCTAATGCCACACCACTTGGTCATGTTGTTTGCTGGAATTTTGCACAAAAAACATCCGAAAGTGTTTATACGTTACCACAAGTAAGACAACATAGTACTTGTTATTAAAATGGACATATCTATTTAACCTAGGGTCTTACATCTATATCTTGGCATCATGAAGGTCGTCAGTTTATGTGTAGTCACTGTGATGGATCATTATCGGTTTGGAATTTACGAGTGACAGACAAATGTTTCAGTATTAATTATCCACATGGTAATTAACATGCTTGTGTAAAACACGGGCTATGACTGTTGTGTTTAACTTTATCGTTTCAGCACGAATATGTAAAGACGAAGCGAAGAAGTTCGGTTGCGTCAATAAAGTCATGTGGAGTGCAATCAAGAACTCGTAAGTTAAATTTCACTATATATAATTAGTAATGAGGAATTGTTACTCAAAAATGAAATTTGCGTTACTGTTCTAGTTCTGGTAATGATTCTACTCTTAATATTGAGTGGCTTACGAAAATCATATAAAAAATAGTTGTTAAACTGACAAACAGCTCTGAATTATTGATGAATTCTCTTTGCTTTCATTGATACAAAACCTTATCAACTTTTTTCTTTGCTACTTAATCGCAAGAAAAAAGAGCTTCGCAGTATGAAAGCTGCTCTGGTGTACTAGCTAATATCTAACGCAGTTTCTATGATATTGAATGATTTTAGTAATCTATTTATCTGTTATTTTCTTATTGGTATATTCATTTTCATTGCTTTTTAGCGATTCATCATTCATTATTTTTTCTGGAGGAATGCCAACTCCAGCCGAACAGTCACAAGCTCAACAACAACTCTCTCCTCCATCAGCTGCGGCAACAACTGCTCCACCAAAGCCCTCATCACATTTTTTAACAATTTTACGTGGACAAACAACAAACGTCCTTCATATGGATAATTCAATCGTTGATTTTCATGTACTGTCTTCATCACCTCATATTTCTGGTAAATAATATGAAAGTGAATTTGTTCACTCGATAAATAATATTTTTTTTTCTTTTCTTTCATGTTCTCATTTCTTTTTAGATGTACCTGATCCATCGGCTGTCGTGGTTCTCTTAGAAAATGATCTCGTTGTTATTGATTTGAAAACAGAAAAGTAAAAAGATTTATGAACAAATAGACTTTTTAATCAATTGTTGTTTGTTTTTTATTCCTATAGTTATCCTCTATTTGAATCATTACATACTATGGATTTACATGAATCTCAAGTGACCTATTGTGATTATTTAACAGAGCCAAATGCTAATTTTTATCAAAACTTATTACGTTTACAATCAAAACAAACACCAAAACGAACATTCAGCCAACAAGTATGTGTGAATTTCCATATTGAGGTGTAATATTATTACTTTTTTTATTTTCAAGGAGAATCCGATATCTGGAGGCAAAAGTGGCAGTACAATATTTGGTTATAATGAACTTATCATTACTGGGTAAGCTGTTGATTCGAACTCTGTCTTTTCACAAAATAAATAGAGTTAAATCAAGGAAAGGGGGGTGGGAGCGATAGATCGAAAGGTGTTATAGAATTTAGACGACAAGAATAGACAGAATATCTTCTTTGAACAAAACTTTTAGTGTTGTGCATGTGTTTTTTCACATGATAGCGCCTTTCCTTCACATATAGACTGTTAAACGGATTCTTCTAACTGCTAATAGAATTCTAAATATTCATATATGGAATTAAAAAGAAATATAAGAGAATGAAGAAAAGTAAAGTAACAGAGGCAAAGTCGAACTCTTTACCTTATCCACCACCTGGAATTTCGAGTGCTGAAAAATGCGGGCAAGTGATATACAATAAAAAGTGCTTGCCTCCCCTCTCCCGCCTCCGTCTTAAATCCAGGTCTTTCGTTTGCCTCAAATGTTAAATGAGATATTTTAGTTGAAAAACAGGTTTTTAACGCTTTTGTTTTAATTTTTAGTCATGCTGATGGCTCAGTCAAATTTTGGGATGCGTCCGGTGTTAATCTTGTATTTTTATATAAATTACGCACAAATCGTCTATTTGACCGCGTTCATAATAAAGACCAACCACCAAAAGATGCGAAATCAGATATAAAAATAGCACGTTCGAATAGCAATAATTTGGATGAACAAGGGAATGTTATCATCAATGGAGATGGTAAAAATGATCCAGATGGAAATGATCAACCATTTGCTATCTATTCAATTAAATTATGTTGTGATGGACAGTTATTAACAGCAGCTGGAAGAGGAGGACATGTGACACTGTTTAAATTTAGTGGTAGTGAATTAGATAAAGCCGACGAAGGACTTGGGGATTTATCGTGTTTAGAAGTGCCCATACTACATCGAAACTCAGCTGGATTACCTCACGATCAAGATGATAAAGATGGAAGTGGTGGTGCACAAGAATTCTCATCATCATCGCCACAAGCGAAACAGATGCATTTAGCAGATAAAAAGGTAATACACTTTTTCTTGTCTTATCACTTTTTTCCCGTTTATCTAACCGTTTTTTATTTTCTAGGAATTTAAGAGTTTACTACGTGCTAAGTTTGGTTATCGTCGAATGCCCGGCTATCAACCGGAATTAGTGTGTTTATTATCATGGCCTCCAAACGATAATGTTCCAATTTTAATGGATGTAGCAATAAATTCCAAATATGGATTGTATATAGCATGAGTTCTTTTTTCTACATTAATAACCTAAATAAATATTTGTTTTTTTAGATTGATATTTGGACTTGAAAATGGATTAGTTGTTATCGATTATTTAAGTAAATCAATATTAATGAATATGGCTACAGCTGATCTCTATGGTAAGCATACTTAAGCCCCCCTGATCAGAAATCTATCTCGGCAATCATAAGTTGCTAATTTTTACTCCATCCTCGTCTACTGCAGAATGTCCAGAAAGGCACTATTAAACATCCTCATACAGCACTACAGATTAAACAGATCAGCGCGCAGCATACATTTTACCCCCCTTGAGTACAGACAAGACTCATAAAAGTTAACACAATACAGGTACCACTATCTTTGCCATCCAAAGAGTTACACATTTTAGCTTCGACAGGGGTTACAACGACAACGTTTTAGGCTTCATCTATCACCGTTAAGGAAATGCATCACGAACAGGTGCGCATTGATGCACAACCAGCGTCGACAAAGCTTTTTCTGCAGGGAATCCGAGCAGTCCAGCTTTTAAAATGGCCGAGAAATTTGTTAAATGGTGTTGGCTGCCAAATGAAAAAGCGTTTTTGAGATATGGTAGCACTTATCTTCCGCCTTTTTGTACAACCGTTATAACTTTTGACTGAAACGTTGTCTTAAGCTGGGGGATGTCTCACTTTGATAACAAATGTGTGCTTTATAATCTGATATCATCATAAAAAAAGTCTTGGTTTAGGTTTTGTATCATATTAAAGCAATTTTTGAAAAATCAATCTCGTACTTTTGACAGAGGGACTTTAACCATTGTATTCATTTTTTTGTGCGCATAACGAATGCATATGTCATTTCTCTACGCTGTTAAGTGGAAATATGCTTAGAGAAAACTAATATTTAATATAAGCAAAATGCGTGCGATGTCATTTTACTATTATTGTCACCGAGCGTAGGGTTACGGGTTGTTACGAGATTTATTTTTGAGGTACTCTTGTTTTGACCGATAGTGTGTTCTTAGGTACCATGGATCCGTTTCAACGAGCAACATTATCACCAAAGCGTAAAGGTTTTGCATCAGATGTACCAGTTTCGACTGACGATCCAACATCTGTTCATGATCATCAGGTAACTAGAGAAGAAATCTTACTTTTTTTTTGTATGTGTGCTAAAACATATTGTGCTTCTCACGATAACCCACTGAAACTTGAAAGCCTCGGACCCTTTCTAGACACAAACTCTTGTTCCACAAACAGCTGAACCATACTTACTTGGTGGTATTTGGAAATCTCAGAGTCGTGGATTTCGTTCTAAACGTTGTTCGTCAAACGAGACTACCCTCCAATCAAGTGTATCTCGGTCACGCTCAATCGACTGCGTAACGGCTAAACAAGAAAATCAGATAGAAGAAGAAACTATATCTGATTTCCATCAGCAACAATTGCAATTAATTGCGGATAATACTCAACAACAACAAACGGGAAAATTTGGAAAAACATTGAGAATAATTAAACAACGTTTATCTCGATCTGGTACTCCAAATATAAAAAATCCTATTACTTTCGTGGCTCCGTTAGATCATAACATACAAGACCAAGATAATGACGTGTTAGAACAAAGTTGGGTTGAATGCGAATCTAATATTAGTGAAATTCACGAACAATTTGTATTTACTGGAATTCAATCACCCATTCCTGACTTAACCACTGATCAGCAACCACAGCCCACTCCATTAACGGCTTACCGTTCATTACCAACTGATGAAAAATCGACTCTGAAGCTCGATTGTTCCTCAACATTACCACCAGCATTTACAACAATTCTAAACGACAACCTCAATAGTGATACATCACAAAATCAAACAGTATCACTATCTAAAACGTGGCCACCGTTAATGTTCACTACTACACAAATACATGGAACATGCTCTCTAGAATACAGTGAATATATGAAAGAGAAAATAAATAGACGTAAAATACATCTAGTTGATTTAAGAAAAGATCAACATTCTACTGCACCAACGTCAACAAATACACTTACATCTAAATTATCTATACCATCTTCGCAAAACAACAACAACAATAATACTGGCAAGGGTACGAGAAGAAACAAAACTTCTTTGCTCTTTCCTATTTGTACGCTGTCCGAGAGCATGCTGCTAGCACGAAATGCTATTTCTCATTAATATTAATAATCATGCTTTAAACCTTGAATTCTATTATATTTCTTCTCTTACTTAATTGATTAATGAATGTCTCTAATCGAAAGTGACCGTGTTCTTTCTTAAATAATGAAATGAAATGCTCCACATATTAATAATAACAACTAGAATTTTTATTATTTTCTACTCATATTTGACACAATGTTAAATAGATATCATTTTATTGTGAAAACTACTATAAAATGAACATCTTTGAAATTTCGGTTATAAAACAACACTTTGCTATTTAACATTAAAACTAACACTTTAAATTAGTCTTGACTTTCAAAGGCATTTGATTAACATTTGAAATATTGCACGTTAACTTTTAGAATATGTTCAAATAGATGTCTTAAATCATTATTTTATTGTTTCTTTGAGACAGTTTAAAATTTGAATATAAAAATCATGAAGTCTAGTTGATTCCAGTAAACGGAACTTCAAGATCTGTTCGGTATATCGTATTTTTTATTGCAAAAATAAGAAATGTTAGATCATGTTCAAATTCGTATAGAAGATAAAAACTTATATCCAGTACAGTATTGAATGTTTTGAAGTATCTGAAATTGCATCAAATTTATCAAATATTGTTGTATATCTTCTGTCTAACATTAGAATGAATGCTTTCTACTTTTTGTCAGATTTTGGATAAAAAAGGAGTGACTGATTAGATCTAATTTTATATTTTAAATCTACTTGGATATTTTTCTCATTTTTATTCCTTGTTTTACTATTTCGGCCATAGTTATAAATATCAATGAGATTGTAAAACACATTTTTTAGCTTGTTAAATGTAAAATAACATTTTATGGCATATATTAAAATATGGAATTTGATATTAATAATATGATTAAGAAGATCGAATAGATTCTAGGTACACACATGTTGTTTTACAATTCTTTTATTGTCATTTTTCTTGACAGTCTGTCTTGAAAAGTAGAATGACAGGATTAAAAAAAAATAATCTTCGAAAAATGCCTGACTATAACAGTTCTCTTTCTTGTTAATTATAATTTAAATGTATGATGCGTAAATATTAAATTTTTCAATTGATTTATTGAATAAGATTGATATTATAATATATAAAGAATATTAATTGAAAATATAGTACCAATCAACAATAATTATTTATTATATCAAATATTCATTCGAACGTAGTCAATAGTGAATTGTATCTAATAATGGATATGATTGTATCAGAACAACATCAATTTATATCATATGTAATAAATAGATTAAAAATACTATTGGATAATTTAATTATGTACATCATCTTTAATTAGATATGATGAATAAATATTAGCCAATAGGATTGTACTAGTTTATGGTAAACAAAATATTGTTCATTCATTATTGAATGCAATCTTTGAAATAATTATCGTTTGTCTATTAGTTTTTTTCTTTACAGAAATTGTAAAATTTTTATTCAATTTTATCTCTTCTCATTAAAATGATATATTATTTTTGATTTAATCGGATCAGATTGATTAAAGATATCATAAATTGTTGAAAATTCTTCTTCCATTGGATCATGATTTTGTTGTGCTTTTTTCCTAAATTTTCTCTATATAAAAATTTTTTTTTTAACATACTATGATCAAATTCTAGTCGGGCTCACCGCCAAATGTATCCTCAATGCATATGGTTCAAAAACTGCAAACAGTTGATTGTAATTCAATTATTTGTAAGTTAATCGATGTTTGTTTGTATTTGCGTACGAAAAAAACATATACATACACAACCACACGCACACACTGTATTTGTTTTGTGATGCTTTAACTATGTATACATATGATGTTTATTTCGTGTTGTGTTATTGTTGTTTTCAGCTTTAAATGATCTTTCAGTGTGTCGCGCTTCAATTTAGATAGATTGTTGAATTTCAATTGTGAAATATAAATCTTAAAAGTCGTATGCAGATAATATGACAAAATTTTTTATTTAATAATGTTTCTTTTCTGAATACGTACAGATATTAATCTAACTAGTAAGATATTTTATAAAATCGATATGATTCTATTTGAAAAGAGTAATTTCTTACAAAAGTAGTAGTATATTTCTATTGATCACTTCTAAACTTTGACTAATGCTTACTTAAAAGCTTTGTTTCTTTTTTCTTTTTCAATGCATTGCTTAATATTCTTACATGGCTTGGTGTATGTGTATGAGTTTGAATTGTGTATCTGCCTTTTTCCTAAGCTTATTATTTTTGCTTTTTATTATATCTAAATAACTTTACACATCAATACTGAGTTTGAGCTGGAAACGTGAACTCTAAAAAAAGATTATGATTTGTCAAAAACAAATCCATTAATTTATTAATTAAAATTTTATTATCACTATTAAATCGGTGAATATTAGAACTGAATTTTCAACAATATTTCATGAGAATTTTTTATCATTAAATAATAACGTTTCAGCTTTTTGTTTCATTCACACAGTTTTCATCTCGTATACCTTCATAATTTAATTATTATTTGCATGTTCTAATTGATGTGTGTATATATACGTATTTGTGCCAACTTTTTTTTTCTATTTTATTCTATAATCTACATATATATTTGTATGTATCTCTTAATTTAATTTAATTTTTTTTATAGATAAACCGTTGGTTAGTGATATTCCACGTTCATCTAGTAGTTCAAGTATTGATAATTTTGTTACTAGTGAACATGTTTGTTCCATTCAATTTTCCGAATCATACACGTATAAAAATGGTATTATAAAATATTCTTTTATATTCTAAAATAATATATTAATCATATTTTATATATTTCTTATTTTAAGATACAACTCTCTATTCAAGTGTATGGATTGGTACAAGTACTGGATGTATTATTGTTGTTAATTTAAATATTAATTATGAGCCTAGAAATATAAGTGTTACACCATCAGGAACAGTATTTCGTTTATGTGGACGTTTATTGGCAATCTCATTTCTTGATCAAAAGGCAATGATTCTCTCATCTCCAACAGAAAAATGGGATTCAAAAAGTAAATAAAAATTTAAAAAAAAATTATTTAAAAATTTATGATATATATTTATATATTATTTAAAATTTATTTATAGCTTTAAAAAAATCTTATCAAAAAGATACATTCAATCAATCACAAGAATCCTCATCTTCATCGAATAATAGTAACGATCGTCAATATGCAGTTTTTTGTAGTTCAAAACAAGCACGTGTAAGTTTGATATCTTATTTTATAAACAAATATGAACATATAGTTTAGTAAGATGATTATCATTTATATCTGAGAGAAAACATGAAACTATGTTGTTATTATTGTTTATTATTTTCAGGTTGTTTCATTACCATCTCAAATTTGTATTTCAAAACAAAAAATTTGTGATACACTCTCATCATCATCGTCACAAGTGTTGAAAGCAGCAATTGTTAAAATAGCTGGTATATATTTAATTTTTATTTAATTTCAATTGATTTATCTTCTTATCGTTGATTATTTAGGTTCAGCTTGTTTGACATGCTATGTTGCTAGTGGAAAAATTATTGTCTATAGTTTACCAAGTTTACGTGAATTATATAATACAGCACTTGAAACTATACCAGAAAATTTTAAGTATGTTAAAATAATATATTTTATTTGATATTTTTTGTATTTTATTTTTGTTTTTATTATTTAGAACTACAGTTCGATCAACATTTTCATTTACCGATCGTGGTCATGGATTATATATGTGTTCACCAACAGAAATACAAAAGATCACAATTGCATCCGATGTCAAGTAAATAGATAGATAGATTAAAACAATATGATTTATCTTTTAAAATATAATATATTTAGAGAGCAAATCAATGAAATGTTGTGTGATTTGTTTAATCCATCTATATCGATGCCAGAAGCACCAAAACCAAGCTTTTTTATCAAATTATTTAATTCAACTCCAAGTGTTGATACAGATCAACTATGTAAGATAACAGAAAGTTATTTGTACTCTTGTCATATTCACTCTCTTTTGATTTTTTCTTATATGAATTTAGTTGGTGAGGGAAAAGCTCCGTATGGTATTGTGAAAAAAGAAGAAGTCAGTATAAATCAAATGAAAACGAAAACTGATTCACTAGGCAGCACTCTTGCTGACGTAAAACGAGTAAGTAAAATTATTGATTAATTGTCGAATATAACTTAAACAAATCTAGTAGAATTGAACATTGTAAAATAAATTTCAATATTATGATTTATTTTTTAGCAAATTGTTGAACGTGGACAAAAGCTCAATGAAGCAGAGTTGGCAACACAAAGACTATCTGAAAAAGCTGAAGAATTTGCTAACTTATCAACAAAAGTAATGCTACGAGAAAAGCAGAAAAGTGAATGGTGGCCATTTAATAAAAAATCTTAAATAATCTAAAAATTTTCTTCCGATCATTCATTTTTTTTTTTCACTATTCATTCTAATATTCAGCATTTATAGTATTTTCTATCTTCCTGTATTGTCTCTCTTTTTTTTTTCTACCTGCTTCACAAACGATCTCATATTCTATTTTATCGTTCCATGTGTGCAATATCATTTTTTTCTCTTATTCTCTCTCTTTTTTCATGCAAACATAAACAGTATTTCAAGTAGCAATTAGTTGTTGTCTTGTTCTTAATTTTATTGCAATAATCAATAACACATACACATACATTCCTCGTTATATATTTCTCTTTTTCTTCTAAATACTGTCTTTAAGTAAGAACATGCAATTGTTAACTTTTCTTTTTTTTCTTTTTCCTTTTTTGAAATGACTTCTTTTTTCTTCCTATACTTGATGTGAGAATTGAAGTTGTTAGATTAGTAAAGGATGTCTAGTCGAATGAGTCAATTGCTGGATATGAATATTGACTGTTAAGTAGATCTACTGCTTCAAGTGCAATTAACAAGAACTTTTTCAACAGCTAATGAATCTTTTCTGATAATAAATACTCTAAGTGAAAAAATCGAAAAGAGATAAAGAAAAAAAATATCTTTTTTTTTCCTTACTGTCATTTTTATTCGTTTTAACATTATTTTAAACTGAATTTTTTCTTTTCTTATTTTCTGTTTTTTTTTCCAACGTATATTCATCCCCTTTGTATATTTTCATGTATACTTCTATTTTTTTTGTTTGTCTCTAAATTATCAATTGGACAGAGAATATTATGCGAGTATGTATTTATTGTGTAATGATCGTATTCTATTTTATTTGTAAACGCAAAACATAACAGTATTCTCCTCTTCTTTTTTTTTAAGCAAATATATTCATATACATTGACTATAGCACTATTGATAAAATAGATTGAAGCTATTTACAATACACTTCTATTTGAAGATGTTGCAAAACTGCTATTACCTTGTTTGAATCAATTACCGTACCAGCATCACCTTTTAGTCTATGATCAATGTTAGTAGTATTTAATAGTGCGTTAAATAATTTTTAGACGATATTTTACATATTTCATCTAATCATTTAAAATTTGATCGTATTAAAAATATATTTGAGTTTAGAGGCAAGTTTGCTAACTATTCAGCTAAGGTTGTACTCCTCATAGGTGGAATCGATTCGATTTGAATAATTCGAACTGAACTGAAAACGATGCGAATTAAACAATGTTTTTTGATAAAAGGATTAATAAGAATTTGTAAAAATTGTAAAAATTTTGAAAATGTTATTTTTTGATTAGCGTAATCATCATTCATGTTTATCAAACCGGCAAAAAACCGCCAATTAACCTCGGTTAACCGTCGGGTTGAGTGTGCGCTTTACCGTCTGGTTAATTGCAATTAATCGCAAACCGACATAAAATGCTCGGTTAACCACGGTTAATTGACGGTTTTTTTTGGTGAGCAAACAGTATCAGTACAAATTCTCCTTCAAGCATTTTTTCATTTTTCTTTTGAGTACTGAACTTTCATATGTTCCATATCAGTAAAACTGTCGATTGGCCACAATCTCATACCGGTGAAATTTTGGATTGAGCAGTACCTATCTGCTTTGCAGGACTGAAACGCAGTCTGAAAGATATTTACAAATTTACATTGTTCACACTTGGAGAAGTCAAGGAAAAATTCTGACGTTTTCGATAAATCATGTTGTTCTTATATACTTACCCTAGTCGAGACTCTCGGCAAAACTCCCACGGGACTCCTGTCACGGGATCCTGCAGGAGTGAGGTGGGACTTTCAAGGGATTCCCAAGACTCCTAATGACTCCTGCGGAACTTTCGAGTCCTGCGTGAGTCCAACGAAAGTTCTCAGAATCCTCGAAGTCCCACGGGAGTCCTGATAAATCCCTTGAAAGTCCCACAGGACCCCGTGATACGAGTCCCCTGGGAGTTTTGTCGGCAGTCTCGACTAGGGTATAGTGACTACAAAACAAAATGGTGATTGAGAAAGAAATGGTTAACCGTCGTTTCTTCGAAATAACGCGGTCAATTGACGGTTAATTTTCCGAACCACGGTATCAAAAGTACCGGCGGTTGACCATGATTAAGAGGGGTTAATTGCGCCGTTTCTAGAATAAATGACTTACCCACACTTTTTTCCGAATAAATGGCTATACAGTTGCCTATCCGGGAAGGTTCTCTAGCATAAATGGCTGATTTCTAGCATAAAAGGCTTTTTTCCTAGCATAAATGACTCTGCCATTTATTAACCTCTAGTATAAATGACCTCTAGCATATATTGTCATTCTTTTAAGATTCCTATGAGAAACAAAAAGTGAAAAAGAAAAACTTTTGATATAAAAGAGTTACTTAAAAAGAAAGTGTGTCCTAGCTGAAACAGTGATTTCACGCTGTTGTTTTCTTTTCGAGAACATAATGCAATCAGGATCAGTCATTTACCTTAGACTCACTTTGAAGTTGAGATCAGACTTGTACACGGCAGTTTTATTAACACGCCCTCTCTTTGTCTAAATCCTTTCTACTTGTCATAAGAACCGTATTAATAGTTTTTTTTTAGGTATTCCTCAACTACGGTTTGCCATATAACTGGCATTTGATCTCAGAATAAAAGTGAGAGTGGTTAAATGGTTTATAGCTCGCCTGTGAGGTTCATCGTAAGGTAACGCTAGCCATACGTGAAGAAAACATTCACGCTTGGACTTGCAGAGTATGTATGTCGTATGTATTATCGGGTTTGGAAAATTTGCTCGAATGAAATTTCCTCGAAAGCGATATTCTCGAAAATAATTTCCTCGAACGGAAACTTCCTCGAATTTTCCAAACAGAAATTATCAATATTATTTGCAGTGTATAGAACAAGAGAAACATTAAAGATGAACACAAAAAATTGAATCTATCTTAATGAAACTGCTTTATTTGAAACATAAAATTTATAAATGGATGTTATGAGCTATAG